CTGGGCAACTCAGCAAATTCTGCCTCAAAATTCAGAAAAAAAATTTTTTGAAGGGCGGAATATGTAGCTTTATGCAAAGGCCCTGGGTTCAATCTCCAGTCTCAGAAAGAAACAACAGTGAACTGACATGTTAAATGATAAGAAACTAGACAGACAACATGTTACAGTTACTTGGACTACTAAACAGCTACGTGTTTAAAAGATTGTGTTAACATGGGAAGCACTCACGATACAATGTTAGGTGAAATAATATAAATATACTGTTATGTTATGATAGAAAAAAAATAAAATTGTGCCGGGCAAGCCTAATGGTCAGCTTGCTGGATGATGAGACTCACGGAAATGTGACAGGGTCATGCAGGAGCTCTGCTCATCAGTGGATTAATCCACAGCTGTCACAGCTGAACGCACTGCTTTGACTTGGGGCCCAGTTCGAAGAGGTAAATCGCTGGGCAGAGTCTCTGGAGGGTACATTTCTCACCATGCTCTTCCTCTGCTTTGCCTACTAGCTGCCATAAACTAAGCAGTTTTGCTCTGCCACACCTTCCCACCATGCTTCTGCCTCGGACCCAGCCCACCACGGACCGAAACCTCTGAAGCTGTGAGCTAAATCAACCTCTCTTCCTTCAATTTGCTGGTGTCAGGTATTTTGTCCAACAGTGGGAATGCTGACTGATACAAAGGCAGGGGGAATAATATCAAAAGGTTAAAATGAGACTTTAGAAGGTTTAACTGTGGGTTTTTTGTTATTTCTTCCACTTCCTATTTTTCTTTAGTAAATGTTTCTTCATCTTTTAACTTGATTTTTTTCTGTGTAATTAGCAGGAACCTTGCTGTAAGAGTTGATGCATTGCCTTGTGACAGCTCTTGTGTGTCTGACTTGTGAAGCCTATAAGCAAGAAGACTAGTTAGGACATAACATGATAGTTTCTGTATTAGCCAAGACTAAGTTCAGGTACATAACAAAAAACAGTATGTTCAAGTAGGTATTTATTTTTGACATTTAAGTCCAGATATAGTCATTCTAGGACTTCTGCAGCAGCTTCAGGATGGCATGAATGAGCCAAGTGTCTTCTCTCTTTCTGCCTCAGCTTTCTTAGCTTGTGACTTCCGTCTTTGTTTCCCACGTCACGTTCACCTCTTTTTGTCTTGAGACTGTCTCCCTCTCCATGTCAGTACTCCAGGAGAGGGAAAGAGGAGAAGAATGGTAGGGGAGGCTCTATATGAGAAAGGAAGTATTTTCTAGAATTTTTGAGCATATATCTAGAACTGTATCTCATGGGCACTCGTAACTGCATGGGATTGAGGGAAATGAAAGTTTCAGCTAGGTGTCACTGCCATTCCTCCTCCAGACTGGGGAAGGGTGTTAGCATCTTTCTCAACAGAAAGAAAAGGGAAACAAGCAACGTCTGCCCCAGCCCATATCTCCTCTCACTCACTGAATATACCCTTCTCCACCTCAGGGAATCCCAAAGACTCATCCAATTGCTGCAATGAGCTGAGAGTCCAGGGCTCAGGACACCTGACAGTGTTAGGAGGAAGCAGATCCCGTCAAGAGTGTAGATTCCCGTGCTCTGGCAACCAGTACTTGAAAAAAAATTACCTGACTCAGTACTACTAAGTACTGCTCAGTGGACAAGGAAATGTTGGTAAAATGCCTATAAAGGAGAAAATGGAAGTGGTCACTGGTCCATAAAATATATTAAATAAATATATTAAAACATATGAATTAAATGTATTAAATTTTGTTGGATATCATAGCAATGATTCTAACCCCCTGGTCAGTTAATCTGTTGGTTTCTGGCTTTGTAAGATCATTTTCTTTCATTATCTTCAATGGATCATACCTGAGGTAGATGCTGCAGAGGCTATCTTTTCCGGGACAACTAAAATTCTAACAGTCTGAGGAGCCTAAATGCAACAGTGTTTAGTGCGTAACTTGGTGCCATTTCTCCCTTTGAGACAACTGACTTTCAGAAAGTATAGTGGTAGTACAGAGAATGAGAAAGGAACTACAGTTTTCAATTGCCTCACGGGCTATGGGTGAGGGGTTAAAAGTTTGAGTTCAGGGCCTGAGGAAGAAAGATTTCTAGAATCCCAAAAGCTTTTATCCTAGAAGTAACTTTTTTTTTAATGGTGGTCTTGCTATGTTGCTTAGGCCTTAGCTGGCCTGGAAAACCTGAGCTCAAGCAATCCTCCTGCCTCAGCCTCCCAAGCAGCCGGGACTATAGGCAGTGCCACTGCACCTGACTCTGGAAGTAACTTTTAATTATTATTAATCCCTAGGTGGTTAAAGGTAATGCACCCCTAACCTAAGTGATCCCCAATGAACCATACCTCGATTTCCACAGCCTCTGCAGAGCCCTCCCAGATTGAGCTTGGCCATATGACTTGCTTTGGCCAATGACACATTAGTAAACATGGGGGAAGCAAAGGCATATCCTCCTGGAATGCCACCCCTTGCAATCCTAAGATTAGCGTTCTATGAAGAAGGCTGAATCAGCCATGTGGAGAAAAGCAAGGAATGAAACCAACAGTCTTTCTGCTCCGGCAGTCCTAGCTTCTGTCTTCAAATTTCTACCCATGGTCATCTTATTTTTGACCTGCAACTCCAACTCCGTCCTGATATTTCCTGCCAAATGGCCCTATTTGAGCCATCCTAGCCAGGGCTCAAAGATCTTGGAGTAGAGATGAGCCACCTGTACTATGCCCTGATTGAATTTCTGAGCCAGAAAATCTGGAATCATGACTAAATAGTTATTGCGTTAGGTCATTTCATTTTGGGGTGATTTGTACATAACAGTAACTTAAGTGCTACTAAAAGTATAAAGAATGTATAACAACCTAACTGACAGAAGAAGATGGAAATAGTCCAAAAGAAGGCATTAAAGAAACCAAAAGGAATATAGAACAGATGGGACAAATAGAAACCAAACAGTAAAACAGTGATCTAAACCCAATTATTTTTCTGCACAATTCTACGAGTAGCATGGTCCAGAATCTTGCCTCAGTAGGTCTTAAACCTATAAATCCTTGCTTTTCAAATTGCCCTGAATTCCACCCCTATCATTCGGGTCCTGCCTTGATGTGATTTTAAATGATAAACCTGCTGGGGGCACACCACCCTGAACCAGGCCTAGAACAACGCGGTAACGGCTCACAACCCTAACGTCTATCACTACCCCCTCCATTTCCCTGCGCGTCCACGTTTGGAGTTACTGGGACCTTTTTATCCCCTCGTTTGTAGGGATGGTATGAATTGCATGTAGTTTCTTTCCTCGCAACTGAAAATCTATTCAAGGTATGGAGCTACAGTGGAAGGCATTTTGCAATGCAAAACACGCGGCAATTTCCCATGCATCTATTTTAGAGGTCTACAGAGGAGCTCCGCAAACTACACGCAGACAGGATGGCTCTCCAGGGTCGTCGGCGCCCGGGCGCTAGGACAGGCATTTGTTAAATTAACTAAATCACTGCGATCTTGCGGACACTACACGAATTACGCGCTTTGGTGGTCAGAGCCCCCGCCAGGCTCCCCTCCGAGGCCCGCGGGTCGGGCGCGGGGTCGCACGCGGGGTCGCACGCGGGGTCTCCCGGCCGGCCGCTGGGGTCCAGGCTTTCCGCCCGTCCGGCGCGGGGCCGGCGACCCCGTCTGGCGGCGGCGGCGGTGGCAGGCGTTTGCTTCCTCGCGCGGCCGGCGGTGTCCGGGACTGGAGGCGTCTGGTGAGGAGGCAAACAAACAAAGCCAACCGCAGCGAAACGGGTCGTTCCGTTTCGCATCCTGCCTCACACCCGGCGCCCGCTCTCTGCGGAACAAGGTGACCCTCCAGCGGTCCGCAGGCAGGCAGAGCCTGCCCCACTCGCGCGCGCCTTCCTCGCCCACAGCGCCGCGCGGGGACGCCCACCCCGAGACCTGCCGGGCCGCGAACGGACACGCCCCCTCGCGGAGCTCGGC